GACTTAAGTTTACATCCTGCAGTGTTTGAAGAAAAGGTTCTTCAATGCCTTGGAAATGGATACTACTCAGATCAAGTTGTTTGAACTAAATCTTTTCACATTTTCATTGTGATTGGGGTGAACTTTAGGAGTCTTAAATTCGGGCCATTATGCTCCTTTGTAATTCTTGACAATTCTTATTTTAGATGCCTGAGGAAGTGGTGCACCATGGAGAGGAGGAGGTGGAGACTTTTGCCTTCCAGGCAGAAATTGCCCAACTCATGTCTCTCATTATCAATACTTTCTATTCCAACAAGGAAATTTTTCTTCGGGAGTTGATCAGTAATGCTTCTGATGTGAGTACTTTGGGCTTCTTGATGGTTGATGTGGGGTTTTTGTTTTGTTTTGGATTTTTGGCATTTTTGTGGGGTCTGCTGTTTGAAGGGGATAAACCTGGTATTCCAAAAAACATTTGCCTTGCTCTATGTGGATAGTTGGTGAGATATTGTAGCCATTTGTGTGTGTGTGTTTGTTTTGTTTAATCCTCACTATAATGCTTATTGATTTTAGAGAAGGGAAAGAGGGGGGGGAGAAAGAGAACTCAGTTGGTTGTCTCCCATATATACCCCTACCAGGGATTGAATCCACAACCTTTTTGGTGTATGGGACAACACTCTAACCAACTGAGCCACATCGGCCCAGGCTGTATGTGGTTTTTAAACCTCAAGGAGTTGCCAGAATTGAGGACATTTGAGAGTAACAAGCCAAAAAAGGTTTTTTTTGAAAGAAGAGATGGAATTGTAAAAATTGTGATTTGTGTTTTTAGGCCTTGGACAAGATACGCTATGAGAGCCTGACTGACCCTTCCAAGTTGGACAGTGGTAAAGAGCTGAAAATTGACATCATCCCCAACCCCCAGGAACGCACCCTGACTCTGGTGGACACAGGTATTGGCATGACCAAAGCTGATCTCATAAATAATCTGGGAACGATTGCCAAGTCTGGTACAAAAGCATTTATGGAGGCTCTTCAGGTATGTGGTGCTTCAGCTAAGGCACACACCATATTTATCCATGGCTTGCTCCCCCCCGCCCCCAAAGTTTAACTTTTTAAAACTTCTTGGCAGGCTGGTGCAGACATCTCCATGATTGGACAATTTGGTGTTGGCTTTTATTCTGCCTACCTTGTGGCAGAGAAAGTGGTTGTGATCACAAAGCACAATGATGATGAGCAGTATGCCTGGGAGTCTTCTGCTGGGGGTTCCTTCACTGTGCGAGCTGACCATGGTAGGCTGGCTTTCGTGTAAAGGTATCTGGGTTAGAATTCTGGGGAAAGCTATAGTAGATATCTTGAGTATCCTATCTGTAAAGCAGTTAACCTTTCACTAAGTTTTGCATTTAGTTTCATTTTCTCATAGTCCATTTTGATTGTCTCTTTCTAGGTGAGCCCATTGGCCGGGGTACCAAAGTGATCCTCCACCTTAAAGAAGACCAGACAGAATACTTAGAGGAGAGGCGGGTCAAGGAAGTGGTGAAGAAGCACTCACAGTTCATAGGTTATCCCATCACCCTTTATGTGAGTATGGGCTGGAAACCCTCACATGCATGATGTCTCCTGCTCTGGAGAATTGCATGGTCCCTGGTTTTTTGCTTTCCCTGGTGTTCTGTACTCTGAAACTATTGTCTTTGGTACCTTCAGTTGGAGAAGGAACGAGAGAAAGAAATTAGTGATGATGAAGCAGAGGAAGAGAAAGGGGAGAAAGAAGAGGAGGATAAAGATGATGAGGAAAAACCCAAGATTGAAGATGTGGGCTCGGATGAGGAGGATGATAGTGCTAAGGACAAGAAAAAGAAAACAAAGAAGATTAAGGAGAAGTATATTGATCATGAAGAACTGAACAAAACCAAGCCCATTTGGACCAGAAACCCTGATGACATCACCCAGGAGGAATACGGAGAGTTCTATAAGAGCCTTACCAATGACTGGGAAGACCACTTGGCAGTCAAGGTGAGAAACCCTGTATGCAATGATGTTATTTTGACCACGGTAACCTTACACGTTGTGGGTTTGGACTTGGACTACACTCATTGACCCCTGGGTAATACACAGCTTTTTGTCAAAGTACCCTACACTCTAGTGCTTAGGGAAGATCTTTGTTCCAAACAATTTGATTATTTGGTGTTGGTTCTAAAAGCTATGCTTAGCCCTGGCTGGTTTGGCTCAGCGTTTGGAGCATCCGGGTTCGGTTCCCGCTAGGGGCACGTACCAAAAAGAATAAATAAAATAAAAATTTTAAAAAAGCTATGCTTAACCTTGAAATGTGCTGTTGGCTTATCTTAAATTTCAGCACTTCTCTGTAGAAGGTCAGTTGGAATTCAGGGCACTGCTTTTCATCCCCCGTCGGGCTCCCTTTGATCTCTTTGAGAACAAGAAGAAGAAGAACAACATCAAACTCTATGTCCGCCGCGTGTTCATAATGGATAGCTGCGATGAGTTGATACCAGAGTATCTCAGTGAGTATCCTCTTGGTCTTACGTTGTTGGGTGAAGTTCTATGAAGCCTTTAGCATTCTCAGGGAGACTAAAGTCTTAGATAATTAACTCACTATTGACTGCTCACGAGGTGTTTGCACTTGCATTAGCTATTTCGGTTTTTGAAACTCGGGGTAATTTTTGACTCTTCACCCTGAGGGTGAAAAAATAGCCGGTAACATGAGATAACTTCTGCGTAAAATTGCCAGTCAGCAATGTGTTAAGGATTCTCCGCAACATAGTAAATGAAAGTTCTGTAAGAAAATGTATTCTTCTGCTGAATCTAGGTGACCCCATCTACCTTTTTTAAACTGAGTTTTCTTCCCTGTGTGATTGCAGACTTCATCCGCGGTGTGGTTGACTCTGAGGACCTGCCCCTGAACATCTCCCGAGAAATGCTCCAGCAGAGCAAAATCTTGAAGGTCATTCGTAAAAACATTGTTAAGAAGTGCCTTGAGCTCTTCTCTGAGCTGGCGGAAGACAAGGAGAACTATAAGAAATTCTATGAGGCATTCTCTAAAAACCTAAAGGTAAGGAGACAGCAAATGCTTACTTTCTTTATAATTACAATGGATTTATTTTTCATTCATAAGAGTAAGAGGTTAATTCCAAGTAAGACTGGTTTTTTTCTTTCCATCCTTAAAGCTTGGAATCCACGAGGACTCAACTAATCGGCGACGCCTTTCTGAGCTTCTGCGCTATCACACCTCTCAGTCTGGAGATGAAATGACTTCTCTTTCCGAGTATGTCTCTCGCATGAAGGAGACCCAGAAGTCCATCTATTACATCACTGGTGCGTCCTTAGAGGTGGTGTAGGGGCTGGAGGGGGCGGGGGTGGCATTCGGGGATGCCTGGGAACTGGTAATGAAGCATTTTGGTCTCTGAGTCACATTCAATAATAACCCTATAGGTGAGAGCAAAGAGCAAGTTGCCAACTCTGCTTTTGTGGAGCGAGTGCGGAAGCGGGGATTTGAAGTAGTCTATATGACAGAGCCTATTGATGAGTACTGTGTGCAGCAGCTTAAGGAGTTTGATGGGAAAAGCTTGGTCTCAGTTACCAAGGAGGGCCTGGAGCTACCTGAGGATGAAGAGGAGAAAAAGAAAATGGAAGAGAGCAAGGCTAAGTTTGAGAACCTCTGCAAGCTCATGAAAGAAATCTTGGATAAAAAGGTTGAGAAGGTAAGCAATTCTGGGACTAATCTGTTTTGTAATAGATGTCTTCAGAGCTGTTTCCCTCAGGATCTTGTGTTGCTACACAATTAGTGGTTTTTTAAGCAACCTAATGTAGCGCCATCTTAATCTCTTGCTCATAAGCAAATAGGTTTAAGGTTGCTATTTTTAATACAATTGGGCAAAGATAAAGCATTTCTTGTGAGAATAAAATTTAAAATACCATTAACTCTATTATACCTTAAAGTGGTAATCTGGTTTAATAAACCTAAAGTGTTTGTGACTATCCATAGGTGACAATCTCCAATAGGCTTGTGTCTTCACCCTGCTGCATTGTGACTAGCACCTACGGTTGGACAGCTAACATGGAGCGTATCATGAAAGCCCAGGCACTTCGGGATAACTCAACAATGGGCTACATGATGGCCAAAAAGCACCTGGAGATCAACCCAGACCACCCCATTGTGGAGACTCTGCGGCAGAAGGCAGAAGCAGACAAGAATGACAAGGCTGTCAAGGACCTTGTGGTGTTGCTGTTTGAAACTGCGCTGCTCTCTTCTGGCTTCTCACTTGAGGACCCCCAGACCCACTCCAACCGCATCTACCGCATGATCAAGCTAGGCCTAGGTGAGCACCCCTGTTGGGGAACTGGTCTTGCATGGACAGACTTGACTTGATGCTATTTAGGTCAATGCTACTTGGGTCAAATCTCGTGACATTCTTTTCTACTTTTAGGCATTGATGAAGATGAAGTGTCAGCAGAAGAACCCAGTGCTGCTGTTCCTGATGAGATTCCCCCTCTTGAGGGTGATGAGGATGCCTCTCGCATGGAAGAAGTAGATTAGTAGTTTCTACCTGCAAACTTTGTGTCCTCTGTGTAGTGTCTTCATGTTTTCCCCAGCGGCCCTGAGTGGCCCTAGCCCATCTGGTTTCTTCTGGTGATGTTTAGTGGTTTTTTTTCCCCCTCTCCTGTCTTTGCCTTAAGACAGGTTACAAGGGCCTCAAGCCTTCTCATGTTTGACATCAGGTTTGGATGTTGTGTATTGTGGTATTTTTTTTCTTATTTTGTTCTGAAATTAAAGTATGCAAAATAAAGAAGATGCAGTTTTAATACAGTTTTGCTCCTTTTGAGTTCCCTTGACTGCCCTATTGCAAGTCTCACTTGCCATCAGAAGTAAAAGTTATATGGAACATCAATATTACTGCGGACCAGGTAGCCATTGAAGAAGTCTGTGACACACTGACTAAAGAGAACTAGTGCTGGCACCCTTATTATATATACCATCAACCAAAAACACAGGACCAAGCCCACTGCAGCAATTTAATTTAATAAAAATAAAAATTATGAGAGCAGAAAGTTACATTTCCAAAGTACCAAAACCTGCAACTGGCTCACGGAGTAGAGCCTAGGGATCCAGGAGCATAGAGGGTGGTGTTGCTGGGCCGGGCTTTCCCATCCCCCTCCCCTAGCACAGCACCGTCTTCCATTTATCCTAGGAAAGCAGCATTCCACTTAAAATCACCAGAGTAAGAAAAGCATTTCTCTGGAAGGGGGTCTATAAAAGTGGCTAGTCTGGGCAGGGGACAAGCACAGGTGAGGTTGGTGGCAGAGCCAATAGGGTATGACATAGGGGAATTTGAGGGGCAAGAGGCTCTGGAAGATACCCCCATCTCCATACTGAGGACTGTCCTCTACCCTGGGGCTCAAGAATCCTGCCTATTAGAGGACTGGTGACTTAAGGCAAAAGGGGAAGGCTGCCTCCTGGCCTCCCTACCCCTAACCAGAGTTAGTTTGTGATACTGAGAAAACACCTGCATTTTGCCCTCAAGCCAGCCACCTCTGAGAAGTTACAGTAGGAGAGGAAAACAGTATGGTAAGGTATGGTGAAAGGGTCCTAGTTCCCTTTGCCACTGAGGTCCCTTAAACCTTCTGCACAGGGGACTCGATGGGCACAGCCTTCTTTACCCGTTGCTTTAAGCGGCCCCGGGCATAGACTCGGAGCAGGAGGGCAACAAAGACCACAGCTGCCCCCAGTGCCCCAACCACAGTTAAGGTGTGGCCATAGAGGAGGCAGGAAAGGAGAATGGCAAAGGCCTGACGGAGGGTCATGATGATGGTGAAGACTGCAGCCCCAAACTGTCCAATGGTGTAGAAGATGAAGAGCTGGCCACATGCAGAGCAGACTGAGAGCAGCAGGGCATGTGCAGCAAACTCACTGTGTCTCCCCATGAAGCGGGTCCCCTCCAGAAGGGTTCCTTGCTCTAGCAGGGAGCCCACTGTGAAGAGGCAGGAGAAGAGGTTGACCCCAAACATCATCTGCACTGATGACATCTTATAGGCAAACAGGGCATCCTGCCAGTTTGAGGTGAAGCTGTCAAAGGCAATGTAACCTGCCAACAGGATCAGGCCCGAGAGTGTGGTGGCCGGAGAGCTTCGGGGCTCTGATCCGCTGGACAGCAGAAACATGCTGACCCCAATGGAGATGAGGCCAGCTGTCAGGTATTCCCATTGTTCGTAGCTGCGCCGAGACACCAACTTTCCCATCAGCATGACAGGGATCACCTTAGAGGCCTTGGCCAGCACCTGGGTGGGGAAGCTGACAAACTTGAGAGCTTCATATTGGCACCAACTGCTAAGCACATTTGACAGGCTGGCAAAGGAGTACCGGTACATGGGTGCCCCATGTCGGGGCTGTTTGCAGAAGAGGCAGTAGAGGCCTGCCACGACCAGTGCCAGCACTCGGTTCATTAGCACCAGGAACTGAGAGTCTGTGAAGCGCTCACCTGCCCATGTGGCTGTGGCCCCATAGCTGCGGGTCATCACTCTTTCCTGTAGCACTCCCCAAGTCAGGTAACACACCTGGGTGAGGAAGGGTGGAGATAAAGAAGATAAAAGAAGAAAAAGTTTGGCAAAAAAGGATATCAATAACCTCCCTCTTCCTCAGAATGCTGTTTAAATGACTTGAAGGATAGCATGCATAATTTGGTTCTTCTGTAAGTAACTAGGAGTTTTCCTTTCCCTCTCAAGCCTGGATTCATCTTGTAGGGAATCAAGTGTGTATGAAACACAACAACCAATGCTTTAGAGCTGCCCAGACCCTGGTCTGTCCCCACAGTAGGGCACGTTAGAGCTGACTCCACCCCAAATATTTTCCTATTTCCACCCCACTCAGGGAGACAAGAATTCTTAGAGAAGGTCAGACACCTATCAATTTCACATGTTCTATGAGGTGAAACTAGTAGTGTCTACTCAAAAATGCCATGAGGTCAGCATCTTGGCATCCCTTTTCACATGCAGTGTGGGAGAAGACTGAAGAGCTTCCCCCCAAACTGTTATCAGTGGATTTACAGTACATGAAACACACTGCAGGAAAAGTGTAATAATAGGACAATAGAAATCACAGAAAAAAAGAGAAAGGAGGGGGAAAAAAGACATTTCTTCCAACCAAGTCTAAGAATATGGTGTGCCCCTAGGAGGAGGGGGACACAACCAGCCAGCACACTGTTGAGACTGGAAGGGTGAAAACTTTGGTTGCAGAGACCCTGCCCCCCAGGACCCAACACAGAAAGAGAAGCAGAGCCTGCCTGCCTGCCTACATACCTGGAGTCCTGCCGCACAGAAGAGCAGCTTCAGGGCCTGCCAAGTAGGAGTGGTGTCTGCAGCCTCTGTCCGGGGAGCCAGGGGAACCTCATCGGAGGCCTTGGGCTCATTGCCAAATACACAAGTTTTCACCAGAGGGAAGCAGAGGCCCCTGCCTGAAGAAGGCACACAAGGTCAAGCCCCAGTCTTCTCCCTAGCGCCTCAAATTCTCCAGAGCAACCGGCCTTCCCTGTGGTCAGGCCTGCTGCCCTCCCTCCCTTTCCTGTTTGGACACGTCCCTGTTTGGACAGATGGCCAACACTCTTAATGTGGACCTAGCACACTTCCCCACCCCTTCTCCACACACCTGTCTCCAGGTAGTTCCTCCGCCTGAAGTACTGCACCAGCAGGTAGCCAGGTACCATAAAGCTGGCATAGCCGGCAGCATTCACCAAAAAGCGGAAGAACCATTGCTGAGTCCAGGACTCCGGAGGGGCTTCGGGGGTCTCCCCACCTGCCCCCAGGGAAGGGAGCGCAACCAGCACCACCACTGCCCACCACCTGCAGGGAGGGCAGACACAGAATTAAGGTGCAGATCATTATCCACATCATCTCCAGGGGGGACCACACTGAAGAAGGACCCGGAGTCACCTCCCCGCCCCCTTCAGCTGCAGCCCAGTCGGGACAAAGAACCTCTCTCTCTCCTTGGGGGGCCGGCGCCGTCCAGGCAGGGCTCCCTCCCTCCCTCCCCCGGGACGGACCCGCCCCTCCGGCCACACAGGTTCCCTCTGTTCCCTCCAGCGCTCGCCGGCTGCTCGGGCCAGAGGCGGCGCCCCTTCCTTACCCCCGCCCTCCAGGTTCCCGGAACGCCGGGGTTCCCCCACTCCTCCGCCTGACACTCCCTAAGTCCCCCAAAGAACGCAAACCCACGCGCGCCCCGGCCGGCTCCGCGTAGCGCTCTGCGGGCCCACCGCCCGGCAGCTGGGAACCAACCCGGCCCACCCGGCTGAGGAGCGGCAGTCACGTGGCCCCGGGGCTCGGTCACGTGGACTCGCCCCCCCCTCCTCGCCAGCCCCCCACCTGGCAACCATGGTCCGGGCCGAGTGGGGCGGAGGGGGGCCGGGGAATGCGAGACCCCGGGCCGCGCGGTCCCTCCGCTCCCGCCGTCGCCTCCAGACGCTGCCAGCGAGCCAGCGGCTAGCGGAAGTGCGGCGATCTTCCCGCCCCCCTCACTGCCCGCGGCCGCCCCTCCGCCCCCCGCCGCGACCATGCAGTGCCCCGGGCCGCCGCCCGGCCACAGCGCCCCCGCGCGGCCCGGAGGGAGAGGCTCGTGCCTGGCGTTTGCTGCCTGGACCGGGGAGGTGGGAGTCCGGAGCCCCATGCTTACCCCTGCTTTGTCATCGCCCGCCCGTGGGCCTCACAAGCAGCCCGGAAGGCAATGCCATCTTGGGGGCGGGGGTATTGAGGTTCTGACCCAAGCACTTCCCCTTATGTTACTGTTTTCTGTCAGAAAGACATCTCCCTTTTTAGTCGGGACCAGCAGTTCTGTCCTCTTTCCCCATGACCTTCAAGGCTCTGCATGACCTGGCCCGTCTACCTCGCCCACTCACTCATCCCCTTCGGAGGCCACTGGCCTGTTCTCAGTTCCTCTAATTAGCTCTCTCCCCATCCCTTACTCATCCTTGTGTCGGAGTTGAGATGACACTCCGAGGCCTCCCCGGACCACCCAGAGTATGGCCCTCTGCCACTCCATGCCTCTCCTCCCTACTTTTTTCCTTCACAGCATCCATTGCAACTTGGGATTGCATGTTTACACATTACAAGGAAATACACATTTATGATTTTAATGGCTGCTTCACTCGCCAGACTATAGGCTCCAAGTGGCCTGACACTGTGTTGGTTTATTCCTATATCCTTCATCCCAGCATATGCCTGACCTAAGAGGGCCCTCAAATATAAAAAGCCACAGCTCCCTAGACCAGCTCTTCTCTCCAGACTCCTCCAGATGGAAATCTCCAAGGCAGTGGTGAGGCCTCCCCAACCTGTGTCTCCTTATTTCTCTTTCTCTTCCTCAATCCCTCTGCATTTTCACAGAAAGGACAAGGGTTTGTGCTGGACAGAGGCCTGAGGACTGTTAGTCCTCCTATCCTACTTAGCAAGGTCTTACCCTGCTTAGGTAACAATTTCCTTATTTCTGCCTCTACCACAAGGTCACAGGGCAGGCCTAAAAATCCCCAATCCACACAGACATGCATTTACACAAAACAACTCTACGGGGGGAAACTTTTTAAAAGTCTCTGCCATTTTAGTGTCATGTTATTGAAACTTCCCCTTCCCCAAAGGCTCAAGCCGGGGCCTTCTGTGCCAAGTCTTTAAACAACAGTGTTTAACAGTTCTCCATAGCAGTGAGATGGAAGCCATCAGAGCCCTGCTTGCTCATATTTCAGTTTCTCTCCTCACTCAGGAGAGTCCTTGTTTTCCTACTGGTTGGCAGTTTCACAGCGTGGGTAGAAACAAGAGTCCCTGCCATCTTCCAGAGACGTAAACAGGCTTCGCCCAGGATACCTCGGGCTTTGGGGGGATGTCTTCCAAGAATCTCTGTCCACTTGGGAAGCTCTTCTTTCCAGACTGGCTCTCCCTCACTTGTGATCCCTCCTCTCAGCTCAGGACTGTGCTGGCCCCAGCAGTCCCCAGGACTCCGGAAGGGCACACTGCCTGGGCCCAAACTGCAGCAACTGTGGCTCCAGCTTCCAGATGGGAAGAGGTGAAGCCTCCGGGGCCCCAGACCCTGTCCTGGCTTCAGTTGGCACACATCAGTGGTTTTCCAGAGATCTTTAGGTCATCGAAGGGCAAAAGAGCAAAGGGCTGAGGAAGACAATGGAGAGAAGCAAGATCAGGGCCCAGGGTGGAAAAGGCAGCAGTGGGGGAAGGGAGCTGGGGAGACCTACTGGGCTATTTTGTCCCCATCAACTAATAGTTGGACATCAGGGAACAAATCTTCCTACTGATCTACCAAATGGTGGCCTATCAAGGGCTATCAAGGGCCTTGAGGCCTTAGGCAAGCCCTCACTCTCTAAGAAAATCCCTGAATATCACAGATAAGAAGGATCCAGCCCATGGGTCTGGTTTTTGGGGTTGGGGGTGGAGAAAGGGCACTCAAAATATTTTGAACATTTTTTTTACATCGGGCTTATATTCCTCCTCTGCAACTATCCACTGAAGGTGAATAGAGTGACCCTTGGGCAGAGACTCTGGTCTCCCACAGGCCCCACCACACCACTGTCTTATATCTGGCCTGCTTCACCGATCCACTTCAGCTGCAGGCTCCTGCAGGAGTCCAAGTTGGGCCCCCTGGCCATAGACAACTAAGGCTGAGAGGGGCAGAAGCTTGCCCAAGGTGCCACAGTTGGTGAGTAGCAGAACCGTGGATTGCATCCCAGGACCCTAACTCCTTGGCCCTTTCCACCATTACAGCTCCTGTCTCTGCTGTGGGTGTGAGATGGACTAGAGAGCAGAGCTGAGTGTATGCCTCTTACATCCTCAGCCAGGTCTTGGGGCATCTCATCTTCAGCCAAGTCCTGGGGCGTCTCATCCTCCACGTTCCGCAGCAGAGAGTCGGCACCTGCCTTGCGCAGAGTGGATGAGATGCTCTTGAGGCCCCTGCCTGCAGCAAGGTGCAGGGGTGTGCACCCATTGAGCATACGGGCATCTACCCGGGCCCCAGCCTGGAGCAGGAACTGCACCAGACCCCGCTCCTGGGTCTCCACAGCCAGGTGCAGCGCTGTCTTCCCACTCGTGCCCTCCTGGAAGAGAAGAAGGATGTCAGCCAAGGTCCTCACGAGAAAGCACACAGGGTCCAGGCCCCGGACAAGGTGAGTGCCACTTCTGACACTGGGAGTGGACCTGGGGCAGAGCCTGGGCTGGGCAGCATCCTGACTGGCCACCTCACCTGCACGTCAATGTCAGCTCCGTTTTCAAGAAGCAGTTCCATGAGTGGCTGGTTCCTCTGTAGAGTGGCGATGTGGAGACAGGCCAGACCTAGGATGGGGTGAATGTGGGGGCTGCTAATCTGCATCCACAGACTCTCTCTCCTACTCCTCAGGGATCTCCCTCCCCTCAGCCCCAAGGGACCTACTGCCCACTCACTACCTCTGATCACAGGGCTGTTGAACACAAACCCAAAAACCCCCTCAAAAGTCTGAGGGGAAAGGAATGCAAAGTTTCCACCTTTTCAGAGTCATGTTATTGAAACTTTCATGCTTCAGGGGTCAGGTTGCTGAGTGACACCCCCCTTCAGGCATCCTCCCCCTTCCCCATTCTCTCTAACTCTAACTCTGCTGGCCTTCAAGCCCTGTCAAATGCTACCTTCTTCAGCGGTCTCTGGGATCTTCCTGCTTCCAGCCGCTCCCCAGGGCCACTTCCTCCCTCGTGTTCCCCAGCCTTTTTGCTATCTCCTTTCTGGCCTGGATTCCCCTCTGCTTAGAGAACTAGACTCAGATTCACATGCCTCATCTCCCTTGAGTCTCTGCTCAAATGTCCCTGCTCCATGAGGCTTTCCCTGACCACCCTATTTAATCACATAGAATCACACAGCCCCATCCCCCACATCCCAGTTCTTCTCACTCTGCTCTACTTTCATATAGCCCTTACTGCCTTTTAACCGACTAGAGAATCCACTTCTCATTTATTTTCTATCCCAATTATTCTCTGTTTTGTTCATAGATACAGGCCCAGCTCCAAGAATAGTGTCTGGCACATAGAGGCCCTCAGTTTATTTTTGTTGAATAAGTTAACAATCTCTGCTAAATTGAATATTTTGAGGGCAAGATTTAGCTCTCTGTTTGGCACACAGCAGATTCTAAGTAAATTCTAAATCAAATTCATTCATTCCTTTATTCAGCGAAGATGTACTGAGTATCTGCGCGCTTAGAACTGGAGGCGCATCAATGGACAAGCTACAACTCCCCTTCCCTGAGAGTGGGGTCCCTGTGTCTTGTCCCCCTCTCATCCACCATGCCCTGCGGCTGTCTGTACCTTGCCAGTTTTGCAGCTGGAGGTCCAGGGAGTGAGGTGGTCCTCTGCCTTGTTCTGGCTGTCCCTCCAGCAGGCAGCGGGCACAGGCTAGGTGCTGGCGCTGGCAGGCCACATGCAGGGCTGTGTCACCATGTCGGTCCTGTAGCATGCGGCTGGCCCCCTTCAGCACTAGGGCCCGAACTGCACGCGGCTGGTCCAGATGTACAGCCAGATGGAGTGCTGTCTGTAGGCACAGACAGAGGGTCACAGGGCCACTGCAGCATGCTCCCACCTCTGGGAACATGCTCAGGTGGTACAGGAATTGACAGCTACCAGCACCTTTCTTGAGGGCAGCTTATAGAGGCTTTGGCTCTATAAGGCCACACTACCAAGCCCTTCCCTCTGTCACCCCCCACCAAGCTCTTGAGACCCCAATTCTAGAGGCAGGGTGAAGGAAGTAGTCCCCTGCCCCTTAACCCCTAGAGAAAGGACAGATAGGGATAGGGTCTACCTTCTCACCCTCTAAGGAGACCTCTGTTATCCCCAAGCACTAGGTGACAGAGGCACCAGACAGTCTCCACCTGGCACAGTCCTCTTTAGGCTCCATGCAGGTGTCACCTCCTGTATTAACCCTTCCCTGGCTGCTCCCCACAGACACTGGATCCCACAGCAGCTGGTATGTGCCTCCATCACAACTCTTGTCACCATGCTGTGTAATTAGGTGTTGACATGAGTCCCTGCACCAGGCTCAAGCACCTTGTGGGCAGAGGCTGTTCTGACTTGTATCTGCATCCTCAGCTTCTAGCTCAGTGTCTGCAGGATGGCTGTCAGGGCAGATATGGGTAGCTGGGCACAGCCCACCCTTTCCACCCACCTGGTAAAGGTTGTTCTGAATGTCCAGGACCTCCTGGGGCAGCAAAGCCAGGCAACAGAGTAGCACAGCTGGGGCCTCGTGAATCACAGCCAAGTGGACCAGCCTGGAGGGCAGGGGCAGGGTTTACTGTCAGAGCCCAGGGCAGAGAGAGTGGGCTGGGGTCCTGAGGTTAGAAGGAACACATGTCTAAGCCACCCATAGGATAGGTGCAGGAAGCGAGAGTCTGAGCCAGGAAGTGAGGGTTGATGCAGGAAGCCAGGATCCTGGGGGTAGAGGCTCCAAGTTCCCATCGCTTGTCTTCAAGAAGGGCCTTGGTTCAGTGGGAGTGTGGGCAGGGTGCTGACAGGCCAAGGAGCTTCCTGTCCCACACCCCACTGCGCCCGGTCCAGCTGCAGCTCCAAAGCCAGACTGAAAGCCACAGAGTGGTACAGAGGTGGCTTCCAGGGCTGAGCTCCCCACTTACCCCACCCCAACAGGGAGAACAGAAGGCAGGAGTGGGCTCACCCTCCCCCAAAACTCAATGTTGCATGTGCCAAGGAAGAGAAAACAAGCTCTTGAATGAGGAGCAAGAAGAAGTGCAACATCCTGTCCTGCTGCCCTCCCCCCCAGGGGCCACTCTTCAGACAGCACAGACTGGGTGGGTCTGGTTAGAGCCCTCCACTCTGCATGCACCCCCAAGGGGAGGTCTGTGCAGTGCAGAGAATGTGTGTTTGTTGGGGGACAAAGAGCCTTAACCTAGGGGTAGAAGGGCAGCTGGGAGGGGAAGTTCCAGTCCTGGGGTTTCCCCACATCAGGTGGGGAAAATGAAAGCCAAAGCTGGAGGGTCTAGGCCAGGACAGCTGCCCTGGGACATGAGTGACTGGGGTAGCTTGACTAAAAGGCCTGTCTAGGCTGGGGAGGGGGCTGCTCAGGCAGGAGCGGGGCAGGCTTGGCGGCAGGCAGCAGAAGAGGCCCAGAGAGAGAAGGAGGGAGGAACCGCTTTGGAAATCCCCTCGGCCAGGACCAGCTCTCTGGGTCACATTCCTGCAGCCACCTCCCTCTCTCCCTCAGTCTCCCCTCCTCCCACTTCCTCTTCCCACTTCCATATGTCCCACACCCCAGACACTTCCTAGGGAAGGGACCCCCCCTGGAGAGTCCAGACACCTCCCCCTGCCCATTCTAGACACAACACCTGTCTCTAAGTAGAGGTGGTAAAGGCTGGGCTGAGAAGCTAACAAAGGAGGGCAGCACCAGAAGTCCCCACTCCTTGGGTCAAAGGTCAGACATAGGTATTCCACATAGAGCCCCCACTCCCTGGGTCGAAGGCCAGCCATAGGTATTTCACATGGAGCCCCAAAAATCTTGGTTCTTGGCCCGACGGCTGGTGATTTGGGCACAGAGTTCAAAAGGCCCGGGGACACTCCTCTCCTGCCCATTGGGTGCCGAGGCTATCTTTGTCCAAGGTCACCCAGGATTATGACTGCTGCATTTCCAAAAATGCAGACATTTCCTGCCCCTTCTACATCCCCCCTATCTTGTTCAACATCCCTGATCTGGGACCCCAGCTCCCTCTATTCTGTTTATCACTCCTAAATCCCAGCCACTCCCTCTTCTAACATTTTTTTTCTTCCTGAGGGGCAAATCCTCAACTGGCTGGACCTTCTGCACTACTGCCTCTTACTCCAACTGCTTCCTAGCCCAGTCCCCACAAAGCTCCACCTGGGTCTGGGGGGAAATGGTAAAGTAAACGGTTCAGACAGGACAGTGAGGGGGACTGGGGGCTTGGGAGATAGAAGGTGTCGGTAAGGCTGACTCCAACCCTCACTTCCCCTTTCTCAGCAGAGGAGGAAGTAAGCTGGGGTAACCAACCTCCAGTCAGACGGCTGGGACAAGAGTGCCCCAACCTGGCTCACCCCCTCCTCCTCAGGGCCAGTCTCAGCTCTGCACCCTGGCAATACCCCCACCCCTAGCTTCCTGGACTCCATTGACAACCTGAAACTGGCACCTCTTGTTCCTTGAGACAGGACATTCTGAGGTCAAGGGCCGGGAATTCCAGATATTGCGCAAGTAAGGATGCCCTCTCCCCCAGCAAAATACAAGACAACACATAAAAGCTGGAATGGCCAGGGGAATTTTCTCTTCCTAGTGGTGGGTTATTGGTAGGTTTCCAAGATTCTAGCTGGGGTTCCAGGTGCCAGCTCTGCCAGTCCTGCCCACCTCCAAAAGGGAGGGCAGAGCGGCGATTCCAGGTCCCTCGGCCTGGGCCTGGCTAGAGCTGGAAAGTGAGCCGAGAGTTAAGTTTGGAGTTTGGAAGAGGGAGTGGAGAATGCCACTCCCAGGGCAGGTGCCTTGAGGGGTCATCATAGAGGGGTGCCCAGTCTGTGCTTCTCCTAGAGTGGCCCCGGGCTAGCATCGGGAAGAAGGGGTGCTGTCCCCTTCTGGCCTAGCCCCCATACTCACGTGTCTCCGTCCTCAGAGATGTAAGTGAGCGCTTCCAGTTGCTGAGGACTCAGCGGCCCAGCCGGGGGGAGCGGCGAGCCTGGGGGTGGATTTTCCGTCTCAGGGCCCTCCCAAAAGGTCAAAGGCTCCAGGAGCGACGAGGAGCCATAGGTGGAGTCAGCCCTCTCCCCATCTGTTTCTTCCTTCTCCTGTCGCTCTTTGGTGGTTCCCGGAGGAGGAGTCCAGGGCTGGGGGCCTCCGCCGCCTGAGGGCCCGGGGGCCGAGGGCGGGGTGGTCTCGGGCAAGGAGCGCAGAGAGCGCAGAGACTCGATGCCCGAGTCATACTGGCTCTCGTCCGACTCGTCCGTCCCCTTGCGCGCCTCCGACATGCCCGCGGCACCGGCCCGCGGGGGCCCTGTCCAAGCAAGATCCGGCTCCGGGCTCCGCCGCGCCGCCTTTCCGGGTTGCAGGTTCGTCTTGCGGGACGGGCGCTCGGCCTGGAGAGTCCTCCTTCCCGGGCTGCTGGGGTCCGAGGAGTCGGCGAGAAGCTTGGGAGAGGCTCGGAGCGCTCACTGGTGGGGTCCACCGCAGAGGTTACTCAGGGAAGCCGGGATGCCCAGTCTGACGCGCTCTCTCGACCCGCCCCTCAGGCCCCGCCCCGCCAGGAGCTTCCGGACATGGGCCCCGCCCCCCGGAATCCCCCTGTCCCCGCCCTCTGCGTTGGCTTGGAGTCAGGGGTTACCCAGTCCTGACTCACTCGTGCGTTAATTCACCCGTTCATCATCCATCCATCCATCCATCCATCCATCCATCCATCCATCCATCCATCCTTCCTTCCGTCCATTCATTCATTCTCTTGCCCCCCCTTCTTGTCCATTCATAATCCCATGCAGTCTTTCCTTCCTTCACTTCCTCTATTTCTTCATTCATTGTTTCCATTCATTCATTTATTCATTATTTTGTTGTTAAAGAAATATTTATTAATTGTACAAACTAGACATCTTGTGGGGGCCTGTGCGTGGCTGGTGGGATGGGAAGTATTGCTTCCTATCTTCTCCCTATTTCTTTCCATTTCTCTTGTTTTCTCATCTACTAGTGTCCAAGAGTTCGGTTAGGGAAAAAGGGCACCCATTGTCTTTAAAGGAGAGGTTTTCCCTTTGGGTCCTGGATAGAGGGTCTCCTGTGTCGACTTCCCGGATCAAATAGAACTGGGCATGAGGATGTGTTTTTCAAAAATGGGTTTTCTCAGGCAGACTGTTGTCTAAAACAAGGAGGTTGGTCACGCTTTTTTTTTTTTTTTGCCTAAAAAAGCAAAGTGATCATTCCTCACAGGGGTGAAACACTGGCCTCTGTGTTTACAACATCTGGTTACCCCCACCTGTCAGGGAATATTAGTTCCTCATGGTGGGGCCAGGATGGGGAGGCCCCAGACACTCTGGCCACACTCTGCTGTGGTGACTGCCCCAGCTCCAGCCCTAGTGCCAACACATCTTCCCTCCTTCCCTGTCCCTGCTTTCTCTGGGCCCAGGGAGGCCATAGGCAAACCCCACCCACATGGTGAGCCCCAAACCAGTGCCCCATGATTTACTCCCTACCCCAAGTGCCATCGACCATGGACCAACAATGCCGTTAGAAGATCATCCCCACAAGAGCATCCTTTCTATCTCTGGGAGCAGAACCCTGGAGTGAGTATAGACAGCTTCTAACCACCTTCCCTACTGCCCTCCCCTATGCAACCTCATTTTTATTCGTCCATTTGACAGACATGTGTGGAGCTTCTCCTACATGTATGACAATGTTCTCTCTGCTGGAAGCAAAACTGAGTATCACAGTAACAGTAATATCCACCAACTACCAACCCCACCAAGCCCCCTGGCAATTACAACACAGTGATTGTGCTAAGACAGGAGTGAGAATAGGGTGCTGTGGGGGCTCACAGTGGGGCCAACTACTCAGTGGGGTGAGGGGCAGAGAACTTTCCATTTGAACTGGAAATGAGAAGGAAAGAGGTCTGGGGAGAAGAGAAGTACCTAGTGTCTGGGAAGAGTGGTAAAAAGAGAGGAGAGAGGGGAGGGCAGATGAGAGGAGATGACCTACTCCTCCTCATCTCCCTGGAGGACCAGAGACGGGGGATGTGTTGAGCATGAGGCAGTAAGAAGCCCAAGGAAACTGAGGCATCTCCCTCCCACGGGGTCAGTGTGATTTCAGGTGCTTCCTCCCCTGACCTGTTCTCCCATCCTCAAAAGCTGGAGCAAAAGTATAGTCATAGACTCCAGACCCAGATCACTTGGGTTCAAAATCTGGCACTATCCCCATTTTAAGTTGGGAAGCTGAGGCCCAGAGAGGTGAGTTGACTTTCCTAAGGTCAAATAAAGTGCAGAGGCAGGCAGGCACTCCTGTCCCTAATCCAAAACTTACCATTTTTTTCAGTGAAACTTTTTTTTTTCTTTATGAAAGCCCAAGGGCTTGGGGCATTTGAACCCTTTACAAGCACACAAGAACTCAGGAATGTTCAGTGACCGCACCTATCATTCATACAGAGGTTGAATTTAAGGAAAAACTCTCTTTCAGCCCTATGTGTGGCTCTGAACCATAACAGGTGTGTGGCAGCCCCTTTTCTGGCCACATGAGGTCAGCGTTGAGTTACTCACGGCTTCCAGCCCCTATCCTATACTCTGACAAGAAGCCCTGCTGGAGAAACTTCAGGAATAGGGGGAGGGAACATGCACTATCATCTGGAAAGATGGCTAGGGGACTTTGACTCAGGCCACAGTGTGGTCAGGGCCCTGACTTCATTTCCTCAGCACCAGCTTCTCTCTCTCCCTCTCTCTGTCTCTCTCTGTCTGCTGGTGTTTTCTAGTTCTCTTAGTCTTTCTCTCACTCCCAGCCTCCACCCACCCCAGCCAGGCTCATCTTCTGGAAGCAGGCTTGGTTGCCATGGTGACCAGCTGGTCAGCTGGCTCCTTCCAAGCCCCCTCCCTTCACCCCTCTTTTCTCTGGCTTTCAAGGAAAAGTAATATGTGTGAGTGGAGGGTGTGCGTGTGTTCTTTTTATCTCTTGGACGCTCTGGGGTTGGCCAAGAGGAGTTGGACTATCTCCCTTCCAAAGCCCCCTGAAGTGAGAAAGGGAAGGTTGTGGGGGTGGGGGACGAGAAGAAGGTTATAACAACTAAACGGGGAATGTGAGGTTTTTATCTGGGTTAGAAAAGGTCAGGGTTAGGACCTCTTCTCTCTGTCTGCAGCAAGGACTAAACTAGGGGATGAAACCAGAAGTAGAAGGGTCAGAGTTAGCTGTGAGACAGGACTTTCCAAAAAGCAAGGGTGGGAGACATTGGACTGAGCCACCAAATGAGATTCTCCTCTGCCACGGGGGTGAGAGAACCCCTGCCTCTTCGGGAGCACACCCTTCCAGTTTGGGCAGGGAGGATAGACTCGCTGATCTGGGGAGGACCATACAGGCTGGATCATTCTGAACTAATTAGCAGACAGAGTCACCTTCACCTCGACTGGTAAGGGAACAGTAGGAAAATGGAGGCAGGGCCAGGAGTGGGGGGAGAGTGTGTGGAGAGAGGAGGCAGTGGCCCTTCTGCTCTAGTGGGGGCAGGACCATCCCAGCAGATGAGTGTGTTTGCCCCCTACCCCCAAAGAGCAGATATCCAGGCTTTGCCTAGAGCTAACTTTCTACTCCCCAAAATCCCCATGAACTTTTGAATGGGGAAGATCTGGATTCTAGCTCTGTGAATACGAGCAGGTGACCTTGAGTAAGTCCCTCAACCTTCCATCTGCCTCAGTTCCTAAAGGGTAAAGAGAAAAAGTGGCAATCTGTCAAAGACTCCAATGTAGCACGTAACACACAGGATTCCACAGTGACTGTGCACACAGATTGATCATGCATAGCCTTTATGATAGCCTATTCTACCATAATGACTGGTTTCATGTCCCCCCTCCCTCACGTGCTCTTTGAGGATAGGACACCATGTGTTTCATTTCTGAACAGGGCCTACTGTTCAGAAATGAAACAGTAGGTACCTAATACCTGTTTATTGAATGGATGTATCCATGAATGAATGAATATCAGTTTCCTTTCTTCCTGTCCTAGGTGTGGCAGGGAAAAAAAGTACAAGTGGATGGCATAAAGGGGTAGGCTACCTGCAGTAACCCAGCCTGGCCTATGGTCTGTGATTTTGCCTCCTGCACCTACAGAAGGTCAGAGCCTTAGAGATTGTCCAGTCAACTATCTCACTGCACAGATGAGGAAACTAAGGCTCAGAGAAAGAAAGGCACTTGCCCAAGGTCACACTACTTGTTAGTGGAAGAGCCAGGATTAAGCACTAGAATTCTAGTTCCCTGATCTCCAGCATAGGGCAAGGTACACACTTCTTTGCTTCTCCCGGGCAGTACTTCTAGGGAAGGAAGATGGTCTGTGAAGACTGGTGCCAAGGTCCTCTCCTCTGCCCTCTGCTAGCCCTTTCTCACAGATAGCTCCAATCCTTTCCATTTTGCCCTATTCCATCCTGGTTCAGTTGGGTCTGGCCTCTTAAGTATGGCTCCTGCTTTAACCCTTTACCACCCAACTGGGAATAAGGATCTTCCTAGGGTTCCAAGACTCACTTTCATGTATCCTCCGGCTGTGTGTGCGCGCGCGGTTAGCAGGGCTACGGGAGGGGAAGGGGTACGGGGAACCCCTGTTGCTTCTCCTGTTTAGGGGGCGGCTAGGCTTGGAAAGGCGGAGTTTGGGGGGCTGGGGGCGGGGCTCCGGCGCTGGGAGGAAGAGGGGGGGCGCACTGGCTTCAGCTCGGCTCAGACAAAAGGCGGCGGCGGGAGCGGGCGGGAGGCGGAGCGGCGCCGCGCGGGCCTCAAGGTGACACCCGCCCCCGGCCCCGGCCCCCCCAGCCCGGCCCCCCAGCCTGCCTGCCCACCCCGAGCCCCTAGACCCTTACCCCCGGTGCCCTTTAAAGGTCCCCTCCCCCCGTGCGGGGGGTGGGGAGCAGCGAGGGCCCCGCCCCCTCCCGTCCCCTCCCCAGAGCCCGCGCAGGATGCCCCCGGCCCCCGGCAGCCCCCCGGGAGGCCCTGAGCTCGACGCACCCCCTCTACGCCATGTCCCCCCCTGGCTCGGCCGCGGGAGAGAGCGCCGGCGGCGGCGGCGGCGGTGGCGGCCCCGGGGTCCCGGAGGAGCCCACGGCAGCGGCGGCGGCGGACGAGGGCCCCGCCCGAGAGGAGGTGAGAGCCCGAGGAGCCCCTTCCCCGGGCGCGGTGACAGCCTGGCCCCCCATTCTCCGCTGCGCGCGGCCCCCGCCGGTTCCGCCGCAGCGCGGCGGGCGCCCCGCACCCCGAGCCGGCCGCAGCAGCCGCAGTCCCGCGCCTCTGTCCCCACCCGGCGGCGGGAGCTGTCCGCGGTGGCGGGGAAGGGGCCGCGCCAGAGGCGGGGCTCGGGGGTCCTGGGCAAGGGGCGGGGCCTAGGGGCGGAGCCTCGCGGACCCCGGGTGGATCCGGGTGGGGATAGTGGCCGGGATCCTCTATCACGGAGGGGATGATATTTTGAAGGCCAGGAAGGGTGACTTGTGGGGGCTACAGAGGCAGGAGACTACCAGGGAGAAATGGTGGTATTACCCGAGCTGGGGCCCTAAGAAGGTCAAATGTGTAGAGAGGGCACACTCATCAAACCCTCATCCCTTTTCCTCTCCCCCATTACTGGGAGTGTGTGTATGTGGGGGGCGCAGCTCTCTCTCCCACTGTCCATGCGGTCCCCCGCCCAGGGGACCCTGAGCCCAGAAATATTTCACAGTTCTGGTACTGAGCCTGTCCCTACTTGGGGGCCTTACTCTTCCGTCCTCTGAACCTGGAGACAAAGAGATGCAGGGAAGTACCAGGAGCATCCCCTTCTCCCATGCACACACATGCACACTGCACTAGGGCAGAAGCGCACCGGCAGATGGGCCTGCAGGTAGGGGCCCTTTCAGATGTGTTTTCATTGGGACAAGTGCACACCCAGGTAGGTGCACATATGCACCCCCCAAGGACAAGGCTTCCTGAAAGGTTCATGGACCCTAATCTGGTTTGTTCATGCCGTGTGCTATTTCCTAGCCCACCTACCTCTCTACACTTCCAGATCTTTCCTTTGGTCTCACACAGGACCAGGGCCCACTGCCTGTTACTGTCCCTTTCTTTTCCACCCTTTTCTCCTGCACGCTGGCTAGCCTTCAGGTCAGGCCCTGGGAATTGAAGGAATAAGTGAGGATATCAGCAGGAGGGTGTGTGCGAGGTTCCTACAGCTAGACAGCAGGGAGGAGAAGCGGGGAAGCCCAGGCATCACCAGAAATCTAACTCAATCGACTGTGGCTATTGGGTGCCAGCACCATGGTAGGAACCAGAATGCAAAGAGATGGGGCCCTGCCCTCAGGAATACCCAGTCTAGTGGTGGAGCCAGACATGTAAACAAGTCACTGGGGCGGCGTGGGACAGAACCCGCCAAGTGCTTTAACAAGCTAACAGGCCCTGGGAGAAGACCAAAAATCATTCTCCCTTGATAAATGGCTGAGCCACAAATGTCTTTCCAACCCTCTAATCCCTGTCCCCCCCCCCCCCTTTCCCCTGCCACAAGTCTCTGCCCTTCTAGATATCTCCTCCAGGACTGCTTTTTGCTCAGGGACACCAGCCCCCTCCTTCCCATCTTAGAACAGAGGAAGGATGTTAAGGTACAGGAGGGAGACTCAGAGGGTCTGGGGTACAGAATGTAGGGAAAGAGACAGGGCCTGGGGTTTCGTGGGGGCACCTGTCCAAAGGAGGTATGAGGCTAATTGTCTGTGAGGGACACAGAGGTGGATGGGTCAAAGAGGTGTGGCTCCTCCAGAATGCAGGACTGAAAGAGCCTGGAAGTGAGGGACCCACCTGTTAAGTGGGAAGTGATGTCAGTGAAACACCTGAAAGGGATGGTGGCTGGGGACCTGCCTTTGCTGATGCCTGTCTGTCCTCCCCTGTCTTCCCCATCCACACCGTCTCCTGTTTCATTGCCATCTTTGTGTCTGTCTTTGTACTCTGTTTCCCTGGGTGCCATCCTATCCTGTGTGTCTTTGCCACCTGGGCCTCCTCCCTTCATCTCTGGCACTGATCCCTTTCTGCTTCTTGGGATGTCTGTCTCTTTGCACTTCCCTGTATTGGCATTCTGTTTCCTTTTCCTGTCCCCATGGCTCACTCTCGGTCACTTCCGTTTTTTTCTCTGGTCCTTGGCTCCCCTCTCGGTCTTACGTGTTCCTGTCACATCCTTGTCGGTCTCTGCCTGTCATCTCTGGTGCTGGCCTCTGCCCCTCCATCCCTGCATCCATCTGTTTTGGGTCCTGCCACTGTCTCACTTCCCTCTCATCTCTGCCCCTCTTCCTGTCCCTCTGAGTAGCAGCGTCCCATCCAGCCCTCCTTCACCAAGTCCCTCTGCCGTGAATCCCACTGGAAGTGCCTGCTGCTCTCCCTGCTCATGTACGGCTGCCTGGGGGCCGTGGCTTGGTGCCACGTCACCACGGTGACCCGCCTCACCTTCAGCAGCGCCTATCAGGGCAACAGCCTCATGTACCATGACAGCCCCTGCTCCAACGGCTATGTCTACATCCCCCTGGCCTTCCTGCTCATGCTGTACGCTGTCTATCTGGTGGAGTGCTGGCACTGCCAAGCCCGCCATGAGCTGCAGCACCGTGTTGATGTCACCAGTGTGCGGGAGCGCGTGGGCCGCATGCAGCAGGCCACGCCCTGTATCTGGTGGAAGGCCATCAGCTACCATTATGTCCGGCGCACCCGCCAGGTCACCCGATACCGCAACGGAGATGCCTACACCACCACCCAGGTGAGAAGCTGGAGGGGAGCACAGGTCAGTCCAGATGGGAGGAGGGTGCCCATTTGCTTCAACCCTACCTGACTGTCCTCAAGGCAAGGAGCAGAGGCAGCAGTGAGCTCCTGTGAGCACTGCAACAGGAGGGCAGTAACAACAGCCATAACAGTAACAGCAAAGGCCAGCAGGCAGGCTGCTCTAAATATTTTACAGACATCAAATAATTTGTTTAACCCTCATAATAACCAGATGAGGTAGGTAACTATTATCTTCGTTTTACAGATTAGGAAACTGAGGCTTAGAGAGCTTAAGTAACTTGCTCGAAGTCAGACAGCTAGTATGTGAGGGAGTTGGGATTTGAACCCAGGCCATCTGGCTCCAAAGTCTATACCATTTAGTGCTTAATGGTCGGAGACAGCTCCAAGTGTGGCCTCACAGCATGCCCTCACCGGCTCAGTGAGGTGGCTGCTACCAAGTCCTCTTTCACAGGTAGAGATACCTTAGCTCAGGGACCTGCCCAAGGTCCACAGCTTCTAAGTGGTAGTACTAGACTCAAACCCAGGGCCCTGGATCCCAAGTCCAAGGCTCCCATAGCTGGCAAAAAAGGTGGAGGTAGGCATGGGAGGCCACATGGAGAGTGGTGGTGTTGGGACACTCATTCAGCACTTCGTGGACCCTCCAGGATTAGAGCCCCGGAGGAAGAGATTTTCCCAGATGAGAGTGACCTTCATCTCACTACTGGGATGGGTAAACAGAAGAAGCCTGGAGCCTTAAGAATCAGGAGGGAAGCTGGGTGGCAGCTAAGCTCCTCTGGGGGGCCCATTTGGAAGTACTTATAAAAGGGAGGACAGGCAGGCTGTGGTGATCAGAGGGCAGTGTGGGACAGTGGAAACAGGCAAAAGGGTCAGGCAAGGCGGAGGCCTGGGTGTGACCCCCAAACGAAGCAGAGCTTAATTAAAATGAGAACGCACACAGGTAGGGATGAGGTTGATTCCTGCCATCATCTCTAACTCACTGGTTAAACTGAGGGCCTCAGTTTCTCTATAAACCAGATGAGAAGATCCTACTGGGGTCCAACCGAGGTCAAAACCAGAATAGGCTTAGGGTATGACCAGGCAACAAGAGCAGCGATGGGACAGATGAGGATGACCAGACATAAGTGACTCCTGCCTCCTTCTCCGACACCGCAGGTGTATCATGAGCGCGTCAACACGCACGTGGCGGAGGCTGAGTTTGACTACGCGCGTTGCGGTGTCCGCGACGTATCCAAGGCGCTCGTGGGGCTGGAGGGCGCGCCGGCCACGCGGCTGCGCTTCACCAAGTGCTTCAGCTTCGCCAGCGTGGAGGCTGAGAACGCGTATCTGTGCCAGCGCGCGCGCTTCTTCGCCGAGAACGAGGGCCTGGACGACTACATGGAGGCGCGCGAGGGCATGCACCTCAAGAACGTGGACTTCCGCGAGTTCATGGTGGCCTTCCCGGACCCGGCCAGGCCGCCGTGGTACGCCTGCTCATCGGCCTTCTGGGCTGCGGCCCTGCTGACGCTGTCGTGGCCGCTGCGCGTGCTGTCTGAGTACCGCACGGCCTATGCGCACTACCACGTGGAGAAGCTCTTCGGCCTGGAGGGCCCGGGCTCGGCCAGCAGCGCGGGCGGCGGCCTGAGCCCCACCGACGAGCTGCTGCCCCCGCTCACCCACCGCCTGCCGCGGGTCAACACGGTGGACAGCACAGAGCTCGAGTGGCACATCCGCTCCAACCAGCAGCTGGTGCCCAGTTACTCAGAGGCGGTGCTCATGGACTTGGCCGGGCTTGGGGCGCGCGGCTCCGGGGGCGCGGCCGGCGGCTACGCGTCCACGTGCCGCTACGGCGGGGTGGGCGGCCCGGGCGCCGCGGGGGTGGCCCCCTACCGGCGCAGCTGCGAGCACTGCCAGCGCGCCGTCAGCAGCTCGTCCATCTTCTCGCGCAGCGCCCTGAGCATCTGCGCCAGCCCGCGGGCCGGCCCGGGGCCCGGAGGAGGGCCGGGCTGCGGGGGCAGCCGCTTCTCGCTCGGCCGCCTCTACGGCTCGCGGCGCAGCTGCCTGTGGCGCAGCCGGAGCGGGAGCGTCAACGAGGCGAGCTGTCCAACGGAGCAGACGCGGTTGTCGAGCCAGGCCAGCATGGGGGACGATGAGGACGACGACGAGGAGGAGGCCGGGCCACCGCCGCCCTACCACGACGCCCTCTACTTTCCGGTCCTCATCGTGCACCGGCAGGAGGGATGTCTGGGCCACAGCCACCGGCCGTTGCACCGCCACGGCTCCTGCGTGGAGACCTCACTGTGACCAATGGCTCTCGACAAACCCGCTGCCCTCCTCCTGCCTCTTGCCGGACTGTGCTCCCTGCCTGTAGCAGGGGGAGTCACGATGATGACCGAGGCTGTGCTGAGCACGGTGGGAGTTTGAGAGGCAAGGGTGAGCGGGACAGACTCCACGGGGCTGAGACCCCCGCCTTCCCTATACATAAAAAGGCAGATGGGTGGGAGGGGGTCAGCAGTACCTGGAGAATCCCACCCCGGTAGAGTCGTCTCTTTCAGCCCCGCCCCTGAGTTCCTAAGGGGACCCCTTCCTACACGCACACTCGATATTTCCAGTCCAGCCTTCCAACGGATCTTCTGACTGTTATGTGGCGACTATGTTGTGGGACCCGAGCTGGGCCTCCTCTCAAGTGAGAGGCTTTTACTGTGCAGCTGGGGAGGTTCAGAGGCTGTGGGGAAGGGAAAATTGGGGCTTTCCTACTTCCCCTGGCTGGCTCCCCAGGGCCTCTCTCTACTGAGGGGGCGATGGTTTGGTGAACAGCAGGGCTGGCTTCAAGCCAGTTAATGAATTCAGTGGGTCTGAGGCTGGGGCCAGGTGTCAGCCCCCCATCTCAAAACCAATACTCCATCTCAAAGCCGTGGGCATGTCGCTATCCTCTTCTTGGCTCATGCCCCAAAGATGGGGGTTTCGTTTCTGCCACTCTCACCGCTGTTTATTTCACTGGGCCCTTGGAGTCTGGGTCCCGGAGAGACTGTGCTCACCACAGAGACGTCACTGTCCTCCCTCCCTTTCTGCTCCTGGCTCTGGAGCGCTGTTGCCGGCGGGGCAGGGACAGAGCAGTGTACCTTAGCCTCTCCTCAGTCCTCTGGGCAGGGGCCTCCTCCCCGGGGTTCCAGGAGAGCACGCCCTTCAGAGAGGGTGAGACCCCACCCGAGCAGCATTCCTTAAAGCTGGCCATGGTGACTGACTGAGTGGGGACATTGGAAGAGAGATCTGAGTGACAGTGGGAAGCTCTGGAAGCAGATGGGAGTCAGAAGAGAGGGCAGTGGAGGGCGAAGTGAAAGAACCTCCAAAGGAGGCCATGGCTTTGGGGGGCAGCCCACACATTGCCTCTGCAGGGCTGAGGACATTGTCACAAGTCCCAGTTGGAGAAATACTCAATTCCAGAGGCAGGGCCAGTCAGGAACTCTCTAACTCTTGCCCAATCCTTTTATCCTCCCCTATCCCATGAGCTGAACAAGCCCTGCTGTGTGTCCCAGGGTCTTCAAAGGGGCATCCTGCCGCCACCACCGGGCCCTGGCCCCACATCCTGTTTCCCCCAAAGTTCTGCCGTAGCCTCCACTCCCACCCTGATGTGCTCCAGTGTGCATGTCTGTGTCCACCCCCCTCCCCCACCCAAATCCCCTGGCTAAAGTTTTCCCAGCAGACTTAGTGCCTAGGGATTGAGCTCATCTTTCAAGCTGGAGAGGATAACCCTTGGCCGCCTGACATTGCTCACCCCTGACGCTTCTCACTTCTCCTGAGCCATCAGAGCTCCTTGGTTCCCTCCTGCAGCCTCTCCCATCTTCCTCCAGCCAAGCTAGGCCTGCACCCGCCAAGGGCACGGCCTCCACCTATGCAACATCTCTGGCTCCCCTGCCCTGCTTTCCCAGGGGAAACTTGGGAGGCATAGACTGTGGGGACACCACGGTCTGTGGCCCATTGCGGTTGAGCTTTATTTTCCTATGGAGATGGCTGAGTGAACAGGGAGAGGGGGCTGGAGAAGGGGAGGCTTGGGCAGGAAGGAACAGCTGCCATTATGATTCCCTGGGCAGCAGTGCCTACCTGCCTGCCAGCACTGAACCCATCTGGACCCTGAGTCTGTTCTCCTCGGGGATCTGGCGGTTGGAGCGCCCCTCTTTCCTCTGAGCGGACATCTGTGAAGTACAGATGGTGAGCTGTGGCCTCAGGTCCCAGTTCCTGGCCAGTTGGCATGTCTTGCCCTTGTGTGGGGGCAGCCTGGCCACCTCCTGGCTTCAAGGAAAGAGGAGCTCGGCTCCTCCTCCCTTGGGCTCAGTTCTGAGACAGCCTCTGAGCTGGGAGGCCAAGCGGGGGCTCTGTTATTACTTTTGCCTGTGTTGACCATTCCTGCCTAGGTCTTCTCACACAGACAGCCTCACCTCCCACTCATGCACAGACTTAGAAACCAAAACCAATTCTTTGCTCTATTTCCTTGGTAGCTTTATTGATTGCCAGGGAAAAGGAAAACCAGAAAATTAATTAATCTCTAAAATTAAACTTTACACTGAATGTTCTTGTTTCCCTAATTAGAACCTCTGCTAGCAGCTGTGGCTATGTACACACACACACTCACACACTCACCATCACATCTACACATTTGCACTCTGGAACTGTCGGAGGGCGTCAGGCACAGACAGACTCTAGGTTGCCCAGACAGGCACACATGTGCAGTCACTCCCAAGCCCCCTTTGGTGCTCTGCTCAGCGCCTGCTTGTTGGAAGGAGTCCCCACAGAGCAGGCACCCCGAGGCTGTGGTTGCAGCCCATGACTCACCCCTTGGAAACAGATCTGGAGGTTCTGGGGCCCCTCAGCCTGAGGAGGATGGACATGGGGCTCGGCCTGAATCCATTAGTCAGGCCCTTCCGTGGCCCCACGAGTTGACTGAGTTCTGTGGGTGTGGCTCCAGGGTGGGCAACCACAGAATGATGGGGACTCTAGGAGGGCACCTGGAAGGCTCCATGTGTCCTGGGGACAAGGGCTTGTGGGGTGGGCTGGGCCTGGCTCGGGAGAAGACAGGTCTCTGTCAATTGGGTGCATCACACTGTGGCCTTTCTGTCATGGATTTCCAAGCGCAAAGATTGTACAAATCAGACTGGTGGAAAATAAAGTTTCGGATGACTCACTGACTTCCCTTCCCAGCGTGGCACTTCCCCCATCTCCTCCTCCCATGAAAAGCTCTCTGGGGCGGCCCCTCTGAGTCCCTCCGGTCACTTCTGTTTCCCTGTCCCAGGTTGTGGGGAAGGATTAGGGGATATCATGGTTTGTAGAACTGAGTTACTTAAGCAGAGTTAAGTAATAGGGAGGTGGCATCTGCCGGGGGAGGGGGCAAGATCCAGGCCAAGTTCTGCTGTAGCAGGACTGGGGGCAGGGAGAGTGTGTGTGTGTGTGTGTGTGTGTGTGTAGGTTACGAGGTCAAGGATCTGTTTAGTAAAGAGGAAACTGGTGAAAGGGATGGGGGTCAGGGGCATGGGTGGCCCTGTGGGAGTCTGGCAGGCACAGTCCCTCAGAATTCAGGGTGTTGCCCACCCTGGAGCCACACCCACAGAATGCTCCCCACACCTAGAAGTCAGTTATTTCAGAGGGTCCGGTAATGCCTTCTCCCTGGGGAGGTAGGGGGCTGGGTCTGACTTATATTCCTTCTCCCCCTGGTGTAGGCCCCTCCCCTTCCTCACACCTTCATGCACACAATCCTTGATCACACCCCAAGGATCTTCATGGTCTCCCCCTCCCTGTGGACCGGAGTGACATTGCAGCAGGCGGTGGGGCATGAGATGAGGGGCGGAGGTGGGGCGGTGCCCCAGCCCTGTCCCCTAGCTTATCCCTCAGGGTTCTCAGGGCCCGTGGCAGTGAGTGGTGACATGAAGTGGCTGGCATTCAAGGCCCGCTGGCGGGCTTCTTCACGGTTGGCACAGAGAGCCTGGCCAATGAGGTATTCGCTCTCCTGGGCTACATCGGACAGGCGCAAATCAAAGTCCAGGAGGGTCCTGTTGTCTGACATGCCTTCCAGGAGCTGCTTCCCGCCATCCTGGGAGAGGAGCACAAGGAAAGTCGTTTTTACATCACTACCCAGGATCGCACACGCGCACGCACACGCGTTTATATAGGGATGTGACTGGTGTTCCTCTCGTTTAAGCCAATTCCTGGCTAAGCTTTCTGTTTGTTACTTGTAGCCAAGAGCACTTCCTGTGGAGACAGCGTGAGTGTGAGAGGGGGGTTTGGAAGAAGGTGCAGGGCCCTAACTGGAGTGCGCAGAGGGCCCTGCTCACGACTCCTCACAGCTTCAGCCCCTTCTGGGCTGGGTGGGCTAGGCCCCATGTGAAAGAATTTCATGTTGGGAGGCAGAGTGCTGCTGTTCTATGGTTGTGAACCAGTAGTGTATTTCAAAATCATACAGAAGCATTTATAAAAAATAACATAAAGCTGCCTGACCGGTGTGGCTCAGTGGTTGAGCATCGCCCCATGCACCAAGAGGTCACCGGTTCAATTCCCGATCAGGGCACATGCCCAAGTTGTGGGCCTGATCCCCAGTTGGGGGCATGCAGGAGGCGGCCAATCGATGTTCTCTCTCATCAATGTTTCTATCTCTCCCTCTCCCTTCCTTTTTCTTTAAAATCAATGAAGAGCCCTGGCCAGTTTGGCTCAGCGGTTAGAGCGTCGGCCTGCGGTCCAGAGAGACCCGGGTTCGGTTCCCGCTAAGGGCACATACTTCGGTTGCAGTTTGTCCCCGGCCCTGGTTGGTCGTGCGGGTGGCAGCCACTCGATGTGTCCCTTCACATCGATGTTTCTCTCTCTCTCTCTCCCTTCCTCTCTCTCCCTCCCACTCTATCTGTACAAAAAATGGAAAAATATCCTCGGGTGAGGATAAAAAAAATAATAATAAAAATAAAATAAAATAAAATCAATGAAGAAAAAAATTTTTTTTAGAGAATACGCATTTTACTAGATTACTGAGAATTAAAGGAAAACTAATGGATATTGGGTGCCGAACATAGCATATAACCCTGATTAATCATACAGCTAGCAGTTCCTATGAATCTAGCCAGTGCCTGTAACGGTTAATCATTTCACAAGTATAACACATTTACTACTCTCAGTAACAGCACTTACAGATGGATACTATTATTATTCCCATTTTACAGATGAGAAAACAGAGGCCCAAAGTGCTAAATGGCAGGCCTGGGATTTGAACCAGGTAAGGCTGTGATCTTAAAAATCACCTGGTAAGTATCCCATGACAGTTGGATTGCACCCCCTCCCCCAAGGCCTCTCCTTGACCCTTCCTGCCCCCAGAGCTGTGGCTCACCAGTCCTATGTGGTTGCAGGACAGGTTGATGCTGGTGAGGGTCGTGTTGACGGAGAGCACCTGGGAGAGGAGCGTGGCCGTAGGCTCCGACAGCTCGTTGCCACCAAGGTGCAGCGTGGTGAGGCACTTGTTGGTCTGCAAGGCGTGGGCGAGTGCCTGGCCACCCTCATCCTCAATGCGGTTGAGGCGCAGGTTGAGGGAAAGGAGGTTGGTGTTGTGTGCCAGGGCGTAAGCCAGTGACTGAGCACCGGGCGCACACACCTGGTTGTTGGCCAGGTTGAGCACACGTAGGTGGCTGTGGCTCAGGAGCTTGGCGGCGGCACGTGCACCACGGTCCCCAATGCAGTTGTGTGACAGGTCCAGCTCCTCGAGGGCCGGGTGGTCCAGGAGGCTGCGAATTAGGATGCGTGCCTTGTCGTCATCCACCTTGCTTTGGGTCAGCCTGAAGATCTGTGGGCAGGTAAAGGGTTTATAGCACCTGGTGGCCAGGGATAACCTGCTTGCCTACCTACCTCCTGCAGGGAGAGGAGGGAGCCACAGGGAGGTCTGAGGTTCTGCTCACCTTGCGTTGCCCCCTGGCTGGCTCTTGGGCGGGGCAGGCCTACCTAGCATGGCAGGATGGTGCAGAATTGGTGGCTAGTAGGGGGGAAAGGCTACCATTTCTTGAGAAGTTACTATGTGCTGGGCATGCTGCTAGAACATGTCAGAAACACTGTCTCTTACCCTCAGCATCCCAGTGACATAAAATGAGTTCTCTCCCTTTACAGATAGAAAATGGAGCCTTAGGGTGGACACGTCATTTGCCCAGAGTCGCACTGTGATTAAGCTGTGGAGTCAGGTTTTGAATCCAGATCTGTTTGGCCCAGCAGCCCCTCGCTGCACCCTCCTCAGCTGGCTAAGATCCACCCTGGCAAGGAGAGGAACTTTTCTTTTCCTTAAATAATTTTTTAAAGTTGATTTTAGAGAGAGAGGAAGGGAGAGAGAGAGAGAGAGATAGAAACATCGATGAGAGAGAACATCGACTGGCTGCCACCTGCATGTCCCTCACTGGGGATCAGGCTCACAACTTGGGCATGTGCCCTGACTGGGGATCGAACCAGTGACCTCTTGGTGCGTGGGTCGATACTCAACCACTGAGCCACACTGGCTAGTCAGGAGAGGAAATTTTGAAGCTTGCCAGGTTAAGAACCAGGAGAAAGTGAGAAAGGTGAGAACCAAGAAATGGATGGGACAAAGTGAAAAGATTTTTTAAAGGGTGTAGGATTAGCATCATGCATATGGGCGATGGGAATCCCTCTCCCTTTCCTTCTCATGGACTCATTCTACTCCTTCTTCTTCTTTGAGACCTCAGAGAGGCTGGCCTGTGCATCTGTCCCTAGCCACTAGTCCTTTCCTTTCTTTACACCCCTCTTGCCAGCTCAGAGTCTCTGTCTTTCTCACCTTTTCATTGCATCTATCTGGCAAAGCTCCAACTCTGGGCCCAGCCCACTCCGTATTTTCTGCATGTCCGTGATGGAAACTGTTACGTGACAGAACTGGTTGGTTTCACGGGAACCACTCCTGGGCCTTCAAGGCTGTGTGCTCATTCAACTCTGTTTCTCTGGCCAACATATTCTCTCACAACCTACAAGTCCAACCTTCTCCAGCTCCCACAAACTTCAGGGGCCACCCTAAAGCCTCCTTTCAGCAAGCAAATCTCCTCCTACCTCCGCAGCCCCTGAATGGGAACCCCTCATTTTCCTGTACCAAACACAACATCCCACTACACCCACTCTGCCCGCTGCCCAGAGCCAACCGTCCCGCCTCAATCCTAGACCCACGCCCTTGCCTTCTCGGGAACCTTCCATGGTCAATCAATCTGTGCCTCTGTGCTGGACTCAACTCTTCTTGAAATTGCATGGAAATTTACATTGGTTTTAAACACATGCAAATTTATTCTTAAGAAAACCCAAACCCCTCATCTTCTACTCTACCTCTATCCCCTTTCACAGCCAAGTTCTTGAAAATGTTGACCACAGACATCCTGTTTCCTCACTTCCCACTCTCTCCATAAACCGCTCCGATCTGGCCTCTGCTCCTGGCCCTCCACTGGCATAGCTCCCCCCCTCCAAGTAACCTCCACGTTTGCTAAATCCAGTCCTCAGCCCCACCCCACCCCTTGGGTACTCACCCCATCTTCTCAAAACGCACCCGTCCCTTGGCTTGGTGACACAATGCTGTGTCCATTTTTCTTCCTTCTCTGATTTTCTGGCTTTCCCTCTTCCAACCAGAATATTTAGGACATATTTACACTAAGAAATCATTCAGTAGGTATCTGGAATTCAAATTTAACTGGAGGCCGTGTTTGTTTTGTTTTTATTTTTTTTTCTAAATCTGGCAAATATCCTAGTTGCAGTTTCACAGTCACATGGTTGCTGATTGGAGTCTTTTATCGCACGAGACAGTTAACTCTAGAGGGCACAGATGGTATAATTTTACTCAGTGCTGAATCTTCAGCACCTAGGACAGGGCCGCGAGCACAGATGTTTGTTGACTGAATAAGTAGCTGGCGAACTGGGAGGGCCGTGCTTTGTTCATATCTGCATCCCCAGAACCCAGCTGGGTGCAGGGTGCATAGAAGGACCCTCTATCGGTGAATAAGGAAGTGAGGGGAGGAAGACGAGGATAGCCAAGGGAGAGGAGGTGAGAAGGAATCAGAGAGATGCTGAGAATAGAAAATGGGGGAAGGCTGGGGGACAGTTGGTACCTTGAGGGTGTGGCATGCCTTAATGGTAGCCGCCAGGGAGTGGCAGTCGCGGTAGGTGAAGAGAAAGAGGTTCCACTCGAAGTTCATGCCACAGTCCTTGACGCCATACACCAGGTCCAGCTCCACCAGCTGGCTCAGGCCAGCCACCAGGTCCCCCAGTTGGTAGTGGTCCATGGTGGGCTCCTCCATCTCTCCCTCGCTGCCGGAATCCGACTGGTCCCCACTGTGCGGCGGGGGCGGCAGCTGCACCGGTGGCAGGAACTGGTCCACACGGATCCTGTGCACGTAGTTTCTGCAGAGCGGCAGCAGGTCGAGGATCACCGCGGGGTCCGTGGTGCCCGGGATGAAGTGCTTTATCAGGTTCTCCAGGTGCTTCTCGAAGAACGTGCATTTCCAGCTGCCGCCGTGGCAGTCCAAGTGGCACACGGGCCAGCGCTGCACACAGCAGCGGTGCCAGTAGTTCTCGTCGTCGATCAGGTTGGCGGTCACAGCCAGCGGCAGGTCAGGGGACAGGTTGTTCAGGACCTTCTGCTGGTGCCTTGCAGGCAGCTGCTTCAGGATAGGGTTGTCTTTGGGAACAGAGGAAGGAAAGCAAGGGTCACAGTATTGGGGACAATACCAGATGGTGACCGGGCCAGGCCTGCTCAGGAGCATGAGGAAAGGGAAACCTTCCCCTGCCTTCAGGGAGCCCCGGGCCGAGAGGGAAGACAGACTCTACTCTCGGGGAGGCTTCAATCTGAGGGAGAAGACACAGCCCCTGGCTTTGGGGTGTTCCTTGCCTGAAAGTTGACATCTTTGCGTGCGGTCTCAGGGAGCTCCTGGTCTGAGGAAGAATTTTAGGTCCCGCCCTCAGTCATCACTTACCCTGATAGAGGAAACAATCCCTGACTTTAGAGGCTCCCAGTGTGATTTGATTCATTCGTTCAAAAATTTCTCTGAGCACCTGCTATATGCCAGACACTATTCTAAGTGCTGAGGGTTCAAGAGTAAAAGAAACAGCCCTGGCCGGTTTGGCTCAGCGGTTGGAGCGTCCGCCTGCGGTCCTGAGAGACCCGGGTTCAGTTCCCGCTAAGGGCACGTACCTCGGTTGCAGTTTGTCCCCGGCCCTGGTTGGTCGTGCAGGTGGCAGCCACTCGATGTGTCCCTTTCACATCGATGTTTCCCTCTCTCTCTCTCCCTCCCACTCTATCTGTACAAAAAATGGAAAAATGTCCTCAGGTGAGGATAAAAAAAAAAAAAGAGTAAAAGAAACAGAGGAAGCCACTCGCTCTTATGAGGGGAGGCAGAGGATAAACAGGTCAAATGAATATATTGCAGGTCAGGTGGTGATAGATGCTATAGATAAATGATGGCCCTGTCCTCAGAGGGCTCCCATCCAGTAGGAGAGGCTGGTAACTTGTCTTTGAAAAGGATGAACCTTACAGCACATAGAGAACAGAAGAAAACCAAGAACTTACACATGCCACAGAAGACCCCAAGAGAGTAAAGGTCAGCCAAGCAGGGAGGTTCTTTCTGGAGAAGGAGGTAGGTAGGGTTTGGGCTGGGTTTTGTTGGAGGGAGTGGCAAAGGTGAGGAGAGGCCACAGGCACGGAGCACATTGTGGGTAGGGGTCTAGTGGGGCCTGGAAGTAGGGGCAGCCGGAGAAACTGTCCTGGCTGTAGGGAGCTAAGGAAGAGTTGAGTGGGATGAGGACTCTGCAGGAGGGCCGGGGTTGCCCAGGACCCAGCCTCAGGCCTCTCCCCCAGGCAGTCCCCATCCACCCTGCCCCCCTCCTGGCCTCCTTCCTGCTCCAGGCAAGAACAGACTCACTCTGGAAGTTCTTGACAATGTGTCGAATGCAGAGCTCCGTGAGCAGGGGTACAATAGCCAGTGACCACTCAGCATCCTCTGCGATGATCCTGCGCATCCGATGTACACTGGCCCCAGGATTCAGGCTCTTGGCCTTCAAGGGGGCTGGGATGCTTGACTTTGAGACCCTTGAGCCTGAGGCCAAGCCTTGGCCTAGACTGGAGGCCCGGCTCTGGGTGGAGATTATGGACCGGCTGCGAGACGAGGCTGTTCCGGTTTCCTGCATGCTGGTGACTAGCAGCACAGGGGCAGGCGACCCCTTGGTGATGGCTTTGTGACAGGAAGTTTCTCAACCAGGTAGGTCCTTGATGCTGGTGGGAACCTGGAGCCGGAGGAAGGGGTAGAGGTGTTAATTTGGAGGGTCTTGGCGGGCATTTATCGAGAGAGGTAGCACAGAGTGGTTCTTATAGGTCAGTCTCTGGGGGTAGAGCAGATCCAGGTGCATCCCAGTGACTAGTGTGGTGTTGGGCAAATTACTGCACCTCTCTGAATTTCAGATACACTCTGCGAAGTGAGGATAACAGTTACCAGGAAGATGACTGGGAGGAGGGAATGCACCCACAGAGGCACAGTATACTGTGACACATGAAACTGTAGCAAGAACAGCCCCAATTTTAGGTAATAATAACCACACAGCAGCTACAAGCAATTGCTAGATACTGGATACTTTTTAAAGTTTGCATATTAACTCATTTAATCTTTGCAAAAGCCTTTTTGAGATAGGCACTTGTAGTATTCCCATTTTTCTGATGTGAAACTAAAGCACAGAGAGGTTAACTGACTTGCCCAATGCCACACAGCTTAAAAATAACAAGAATGGATGTAAACTCAGTCTATCAAGTTCATATTCTCATATGAGGGGGAGGGGTGGGGGTGTATATTGCCAAAAGACTGAGGTATAGTAAAGAACCATTTAGTTCAAAACAGCTCCCTGCAGTAAGTATTTTACAGAACAGCAACTTCCTGGCCCAGAGGATGAGCTGAGAATAGCAATGGCCAATCAAAATGTAATGCAAGCCACATACACGACTTTAAAATTTCTAGTAGCCACATTAAACAAGTAAAGAGAAACAAGTGAAATTCATTTTATGTTTAACCCAATATGTCTAAAATATTATCATTTAAATGTCAGCAATATACAAATTATTGAGTTTTTGTTTTGTTTTGTTTTTTCCCATACGAAGCCTTCAAAATCAGAGGTAACTGGTGCTGCTGTTTCGGACAGTGCAGCTGAGAGAGTAAGGAGAGGGGAAACTGGCCCCTCCCTGTCCAGGGTGCCAGCACCTTCTTTTCCCCCTCCCCCCTGAGGGTTCAGCTCTGGGCCCCTCCCTTCAATCTCCCTCTCCCAGTCTTCCAGTCCTCCAGCCTCCTAGCATTCCAGATGGCAGCAGGAAGTCGTGGGACGTGAAAAGGCAGCTAAATCTGGGGTTGAAGACAGAAGACAGAAGGTGCATCTGGGGCTGGAGATCACCACCCCCGTTTGTGCATCCCTACGCCCTGCCCTGGGGCCGGAGACTGAAGCGGGGCTGCCCCGCTCAGCAGCTCCTCCAGGCGGCTTCTCTGCGATGTGCTCCTTGACCTGGGGCCCTGTGTAGTGACCAGTGGGAAAGAACACTCTGAACCAGCAAAGGTGTCCTTGGCAGACGGTGGAGACCAGATGGTGCTCCCCAGCCCGGCAGGCGTCTCAAGGAGGAAGAGCCTGGCTCTGTGTGTGTATGTGAGTGAGGCAGAGAAAAAGAGAAGGAGAAGGAAGGCGGGTTGTAGGGAACATATCTCTGTATTTGTGACACCCTTATGCAAATCAAATGCAAATCTCGGATTGTGTCCAGAACTGTGGAAGAACCAGCTGGTGCTTTCTGACTAATGGCCCCTCAGAGGGTGTGGCCAGGAGGGATGCTGCTCACAGGCATCAGATGACTTTGCATTTCTTTCTGGCTTTGCCAGTGACTTGCTGTGTGACCCTTGGCCGGTTTATTTAACCTATCTGAGTTTCATTTTCCTTATCTGCAAAACGGGAGAACACCATTTTCCTATTCAGTGTTGTGGGGATCATTCTAATATATTTGAGAAGTGTTGATAAGACTTGGAAAGAGTGCTGGGGGGTGTGGGGGATGAAGGCACCGTGAAGGACAGGCCTCCTAGGTGCGGAGGACACCCTGACGCCTGCTTCGTGAGTGCTAACCACAGAGGGTCTCTTTGCGTGGGGCCTTCCCTATTTCCAGGGGACAGGTGAAGGGCAAGATGGCAATGGCTGTGTTCAGGGCTGGATGGAAGGTTGGCCAGAGAAGGGGATAGACAGCAGGCCAGCCGTGTTCCTGCTAGCTCCACATCTGGGCTCCCTCCAAAGTCCTGGCCCGAAACATCCCGTGTTCCCCTCAGTCCCAGTGCATCCCCAGACACCCCCTGAGCACGCCCAGGGAGCAGGGCACAGCCTGGCAGGGGAAGCCCCGGCATTACTCACAATGCCCATTACTCACAGTGCCATCAGGCCTCGCCATCCTGGGAGGCGGTGCCTTTCCTTCCTCCTGGGAGGCCATGTGTTGGACAACCCCACCTGGGCCCAGGTGGGCACCCTGGGGAGCTGGGTGGGCCCAGCCTCCCTGTCTCAGGAACTGGCATTTCTTACTGAGGTCTGGTCCTAGAACCCGGAGCCGCCTCTGGGAAAGGAAAGGGCAGCGCGTACCTCCGAGGGCTCCGTGGGCACGGTGGGTATAAAGGAGCCCCTGCTGTCCTGTGATATTCACAGAAACCTCCACACATGACCAGCTCTGATGTTGCTTGCAACGCAAATGTTGAACCATTGACCTCATAAATTCAGAGCAGATTATTTTCACTTAATAACGTCTTGATTTTTAACAAAAGATCTTACAAAAGTATTTTTTGGCAAGCAAATTACTACCCAACACAGAGGATTCTTCTAAGGAGAATTTTAGTTTCAGATGATTTTTAAAAAAATCTATGATTAGGCCAGCCATGTGGCTCCGTGGTTGAGCATCGACCAAGAGATTGTGGGTTCAATTCCTGGTCAGGGCACATGCCCAGGTTGTGGGCCTGATTCCCAGTGGGGGGCATGCAGGAGGCGGCCAATTGATGTTCTCTCTCATCCATGTTTCTATCTCTCTCCCCCTCTCCCTTCCTCTCTCTCTAAAAAAGTAATAAAGAAAAAAAATATTTTTAATCTATGATTAAAAATGAACAAAACATAAAACATAGTCTATTTAAAAGGGTATGAACAAACTCCTTGTCTCCCTGTTAGTAATGTTATACAGATGGTATAAGGTGTGGCCCCTCCCGGGCAGGTTGTGACCCTGACTCCTGCCCTCTCCTCCACCACAAGGCTGCCACACTCCTGGCCCCTCCCCTCCCCGCCCTTCTCAATATTTTTTCTCAAAGTCTCCAGCACAGGCTCCTTGCACTCTGCCCACTCCTGTGTTGTGGTTCCTCAGGATTCTGAGTGGTCGCCCTGCCTCACTCCTGTTGATGGATCGCAGCTGTCACTCCCCTCTGGGCCCAGGGCCTGACCCCCGCTTCCTCAAACTCAACTGCCCCGAAAGAGAAACCAGTGCCTCCTGCAAGCTGCCCCTCCTCCTGGCTCCTTACCTTGGCCAGGGGCGCCGCGGCCCATCCAGATGCCTGAACCAGAAGCTGGGAGTCACCCATCTCCTTCCGGTCCCTGACATCTGGTTACTGTCGGAGCCCCTGGGTTCTGTCTCCCACCCCAGCACCCACGGTCTCCCCTCCTGCTGCTGCCTTAGCCCAGGACCTCACTGTCTGCCTGGATCATAGCTCCAGCTGCCCGGCACCTGGGCCTGTCGTCCAGTGTGGTCCTCTCACATCTAGCCGTCCCACAGCGGCATGGCAGGCCTCCACGCCAGCCCTTGGGGGCTCACCACTGCTCACTGGGTACCGCTCAGCTTCCTCCGGACTCCGCGACAGGACGCTCTCTTTGCACCTGGATGGAACACTTCAGGCCCGTTCGTGCTGCCCGGCCTTTGCTCATGCTGTTCCCTCTGCTTGGAGTGCCTTCCCCAGCCTCGGCTCAGGAAGCAGAGGTGCTCTTCAGTCTGCGCTCAAGCTCCACTTCAGCCTTTCTTGGCCCCCATCCTCCAAACAGTTCCTCCCTCTATCAGACCCCCACTACCTGTGTCACTTCAGTGATCTGATCTGAACCCCACAACCACACTAGGCTGTGAGCTCCTCAGGGTGCAGGGACTGTGTGCTACTCTCTTTGATCTCTGGTCCCTAGCCAGTGTCATGTCTGCATTAGGCGAGGTAGCTGTTGTTTGGGGGTACCCCACCCCTTCTGATAATAGATTCTGGCCAATAGGAGTAACCTATATCGGTCAGAGCGATTGGTTCAGGGTGGCTGCCTGCTGCAAGCCAATCAGAGTCCCCCTGGGGGCTTGTCCAAGTGGAGGTAGACAGGGACATGTGTCCTCGAAGGACACAGATCCCCTACTGCAGGCAGCTGTTTCCCTTCCCGAGGAAAAGACCTGTCCGCCGCAGGGGGTGGGCGAGGCCGGGTGGGGACCAGCAGGGGTGAGAGGTGAGCAGAGGACCTTCAGTCCCCAGTCCCAGTCCCCCAGGCCCCAGAACTGCCTGATTCCTCAACGGTTCCTTCAATTCTGAGACCTAACTTGGTGTCTTCTAACAATCCCTTTGGCTGAAGCTAAGAATTGGGTTTCTGCCCCTTTCTGAACACAGAGTCCTGGTCCTAACCATTCTGATAGGCGCACCATTTGGTGAATTAACTTATGGAAAAGGTCCAAAATCAGCAGTTTAAATACTTCAGTGGGATTCCCGAAAAGGGCCAATGGCTCCCAGTATTATACCCAGAGCCTGACAACCAACTCCTGTGGCCTCTTCCCGTGACAATCCGGAGCCTCCAGTCTTACCTCCCGTCTCTCCAGCCACTGGACACTGTCAGCACTGCCCTGTGCGTGGCACTGAACTGTTGCCAGCCCCTTTCAGACTTTTCTCTCATCTGAGTGTTACACACACTGTACCGTGGAGGCAGGGCAGGCTGCGTAGCCCCATTTTGCTGATGAAGAAACTGAGGACCAGACTAGGAAATGACCGGCCCTGGAACATCTAGGAGGGCTGGGCCTGGGCACTGCTCTTTCACAGTCACTCGCCATGTCCCCTTCTCACACTTCCCTACTCTCCACTCAGAGAGGACCGTCAGGGAGGGCCCCCCAGGCTGGGAGAGCAACCAGGCCTCGGTGC